AAACATTTTTTAATTCTTAATTATGCATGCACATAACTTTAATCACATCACTTTGAACATATAAATTCATTTAATTCAAAACACTCGTAAAAGACTTTCTTAAACCCCGAAATCTACTGCAACTGCTCAAGCACATAAGTGAATTGATAAAGGGAATATCAGCTATGGTATTTCCACTAGACTGTCAATAAAAAAATTTTACATCATGAGTTACACATAGTTCAAGAACTGAGGTAAATATCAGAAAAGTTGCTGCACAGAAAACAGATGCACATGGAGCAATAACACACTATTTCTTGCTGAAGTTAATAGGGCTCCCAGTCAAAATGCACTTGAACAACTGAGGCCTCTAAAAATTGTTTTAGAAATGCAGGTAGCAAATTCACTGTATGTTTATATGTAGCAAGATCAGATATTTTAAAGTCAAAGTTTTTCTTACTTCAAAAGTACCTCACAGTGCTGGAAACCCCAGCTGTAGCACAACACATTGTGGAAGATGTGATCAAGAATGACAAACATTTTGCTCGTAACTACAAAATCCCAGCAGTAATCCTAATACCAGATCTATTTCCTAGGCCTGGCATTCAATGTGTTTTCCAGCTTTCCAGTAAGTATTGAACAGCAATGAAAAAAAACTTTGGTGATAATTGGTTAATGTGAGACTTGAGCAGGATCAAAACTGAGAGCTAGCCAAGCAAAAAAGACGACAGATAATATTTAATGTCAACAAATACAAAATAATAAACTCCTGAAAGAATAACTTGCAGCAATTCCCACATGGCGTGGAATTTTAAGCCAAATGTAAGCAGGTAAACAAAATAAACACACACAGGATGTGCAGCTCAACAGAATCTCTGCTTAGTACAAGCACATGCAAGGCAAGAAACAGAGTGTTGCAATGAACAAAGAACAGGATTGAAAACATTCTCATTTCACCTGGAATACTGCCTCTTGTGACATCACAGAAAACCAGAACCAACTCCTAGACTCCTAGACTTATCTGACCTACGGACAAATACCAAAGAAACAATGAAAAAAGAAAAAGCTGAAAAAAGCCCAGAAGAAGGGACAGAGGTACGGAAAATCAAAACATCAAAAGCTAATGCTTCTCTTCCCAATACAAGGAAATGTCTAACTATGATTAAAAAGCAATCTACTAACAACAAAAGGAACTTGTAATACTACTGTGGAAGTCACTGCCAAAGACACAGATGCAGAGACAACATCATAAAAGTACAATGCTTGTATTGATTTTAAATTAAGTCAGCTGCACCTCATTGGATTTTTTTTCTACAAGTCAGATTTAAATCTAGTCATGTTTGACTGATCATGTGTGATACAGTGACTGCATAACCAAATTTAGGTGGACATTTATCTTCCAGGCAAGTCATTCTACTTGTCTACTCAAGAAGTACTTAGATTTTCCTCCACCAAAAACTGCTTTCTAGTACAAGTCAACAGGACAGAAAGTAAGCTAGGAATTACTTTTAAAGATCAAATCAGCTGTACCTCAATACCCATGATAACACAAGGGGATTATACCATTGTCCATGCGAACCAGATCTCTCTGCATTCAGTACTGCATGACCCGGAGAGCTTAACACTGGAGTAAGGCATCACCTTTTTTCTCCCAGCATCTCACAGGTTGCAACTGACAGTGACCAAGATACCTTACACTTGTACCTTGTAGCTCCCACCGTATTGCAAGGCATACAACCCATTTAAGTGAGAAATATAACGTGCTCTCTAGATCAACAAACGCAGCATGCAGCAAAAAGCACCTATTTGTATCTGGCAAATAAAAAAAGTGATTACAGTTCTTCCTGCAAAACTCCTATAAAGAAGCTTCATTGTATTTACACATTTTTGTTTTTCAAGTCTCCATAAAGACAGATCTACCTTATGGAATAATCTGCAAAATGTCATATCCAGAAACTCAAGAAAGCTCCTCATTTACCTTCTAGTAAAGAAATCGCATCTGAAACAAATTAGAGAAATGCAAATGCAAGCATGAGCTCAAATGTTGACTCAGATCTTGCTAGTCTTACTCATATTAGTCATCTTTCTGGGCTCATGCGGAGAACACTGTGGGTGGACATATGAATTCATATGGAACCCACTGAAATCAGTGCACAGCCAGGGTCAGAGGCTTTGAAACAACAGCTCTGTTAAGTTAAATGGAAAAAATATAACGGTGTATTGCCTAATAACAGTGTTAATACTTGCACACAAGCCTAGGTGAAAAGAAGGGAGGCTGTTAAAACACATGCTAGCCTATAATAGCACAGGAGCAACTATGACAGGATAATTGGGGTTGAAAGGCACCTCAGGAGGTCATCTAGTTCAACCTCCTACTCAAAGTCCCAGTTATTTCTATAAAAAAAGCCACAGGGTTTTGGTTGCCTTCTTCCACATAAGTTGTTTTTTTCAAAACACTGTGAAAACAAGTGGGTTTTTTAATTATTGCATGTTTAATTATGTTAATCTGCTTTTTAATGAAAGTTTTGTAACTTTGGATAGTAGTTCCCATTTATCCACAACTAACGCCACTTCATTCATGTATCTGGTTAATATTACTACAGTCCTGAATCTTGTTTACCTCCCTCTTCAGATTCTTTCAGCCGAGATGCTACATTATTTCCTGTAACTGCACATATCATCACTTAGCTGTTTGTTTACGTAAGGTCATACTGTAAAAACGCCCCAGAGCTGAGATAGAGAGACCAATGGCAAAAACGACAACCCCCTTCAGTAACTGCTTTTCTTACAACTTCAGCAGGGGGATGCCATTGCTAGTACAAGATGGCAGTGACATTCGCTTCAGTAGTATTCCGTGGTCATGCATCACATTAACTCCACACAGTTTGGAAATGGCTATTCTACAGAGATTTCAACTTTGTTTTTTATTAGTCCAGTCACCACTCTTAACAGCTACCCATGAGAAGCAGCAGCAGTCTCCTTTCATTTTCCATTCTGCAGTTGCAGTCAATCTGATTTGATCAACAAGAACGTGGAACCATTTTTCTGCATTGTGTAAACTTCTTGCTCGTTAAAACTTCCCCTCCCAGCAGCAAACACCATTTCCCTATGTTGCTGTCGTTGGCACTTACGAAAATTAAAAACTCTGCAAATAGCTCAGATTTAAGGTTTCTCTGGAAAGCACACTGCTGCTTAAAATCCCTATACACTTCACACTAGAGTACTGAAGTTGTTTATTACAAAATTGTCCATTTACACCACTGAAGTCACTTGGGGCTTATTCTCATCAAGCAGAACACAGTGATGGCTACTGTGTTCCTACTGAATCCTCACATTACTGTCACCAACCCTAAGCAGGGAAGATAAACAGGCATGCCTGGAGACCACCACTAGGGTATTACTCCCGTATCAAGTACGAGGAAGACTGGGCAGGGGGAACAAAATAAAAGTTAATCCATGTAACTGATCCAAACTACCCTTTTTAACAGTGCACATAAACTCTCTAGAATCTCTTGTCAATACTGATTTTTTTCCATAAAATACAGACTTCAGGAATATTTCTCTCTGACCTAAACTACATATACATTAAATTTGACTAACAACAGAACCAATGGAGAAGCAAATGATGAACTGAGAAGCTGTACAGGGCTAAGATGTCAGAAACTATGACCATGAAGCAACTGATCTCAAGTGGAAAAATCACATCTGAAACTGGGAGTAGCCATGAAATCTTCCCAATTATGTTTCCCTCTGCCCAAAAACCAAAAATAATACAACCTGTGTCTCTCTGGCAACAAGTAATTTAGGAATTGCCAAAGCAAGGTGTTATTTTCTCACCTGTCACAGACTGCAGAGGTTAGAAGAGGAACTTTGAAGGCAGAGACAGTCAGGTTCTAATTAAACTTCAGTCACAGAAAAAAAAAAAAAAAAATCTGAAGTTTTAGCCGCAATTCTTTTCTAAAAAAAAAAACAACCAAAAACCAAACCAAAAACACTCTTGTGAAAATAAATGAAATCCATTAATTCGTAACCCACATCTAAGGGAACACTTCCCCACCCAAAGCAAATTCAGTACAGACGTATAGAGAAAAACCGCAGATGCTTCTGTGACTGCTTGCCCTCCTTCTGCAATAAGAATTTTTTTTTTTT